TTATTGTTTTCAAACTAATATATCTATCAAGAGAATTAACCAGTTTTATTTGTTGACTAGAATAAACAAAATTCATAATTTATCCACAAAATAATTCTGTCATACTAATAAATTTAATTCTTTATATTCTTTATTATTATTTACTATACATAAAATTTAATTCTTTATCATCTCTTACAAAAAATCAATTCTTTATCCTTTTTTTTTTGTTAACACAAAGAAAAGGTATTTTAATTTAATAATGTCGCACAATTTTTATTGGACAACGTTCATGTAAAGTCACAGAGTGCACTTAGAGAGGAAGTTTTATATAGATGAGAATGAAAAAAGACCGTGCAGTGTAGGGGGAAGGGGTGCGCACTTATCTCTAATTCCCGAGCTTGGAAATGAATGAAAGCGTACACTTAGAGGGGTTGACTGTACGAACTAAAATTTTAGATAAATCCAACAAAGTCACATTTTTTAATATATACAGTATATACATATATATAAATAAGAAATACAATCAATTTACCAAGCGAATTAATTCTGTCACACCCAACTAAAATATTGCCAAATACTTTTGTGCCATCATCAAAATAAGCCTAAACACCAGTTTCATCTATTTCATATTTGACGAATTTTTACTCCACTGTATGTCTACAAATATTCTCTTAGCCTATCTCTAAAGGTTACCATGAATGTATATTTACGATCATTTGTCTCGGAAAATTCGTACAAATTTTTGTATTTGTTAGTAGGAAAGGATGTCAACAGTCCCCCACATTGATCTATGATTGAATAATGGTATTTTTTCCCCGAAACCAGATCAGAGAAAACTTCTTTTAACCGACTGGATAAATCTGTTGGAAGGCAATTTAAAAATGATTTTACACACCAAATGGTTTTGTTAAAATATGATATCCTTGTAAACGATCTACAAAATACAATTATTATGTATTAGTATTAGTGTGTTAATTTATTTAACATGTTAGTATGTCGCAGTGATTCTCTTTTTTTAATGGGATTATATAAAAGAGTAAATCCTATGAACAAGGAGGATGGTACGTAATTTAAAATTAACCTTTAGACGCTCGAATATTTTGGCATTGAATTTTATTTTTGCTTTCGGTGAGCAAGTGATAATCCGCCTATTCCGACTCCAATAATTATTACGATAGACATTTCTTAATATTAATATTAATATTTTGTTTAATGTGTGTGAAGTTTATATTTAATTGATTAGTAATTGTATTTCATTCAAAACTAATTCGCTCATTCACTGAATCGAAATCAACAAAACTTTTTTATCTTTCCAGTCATCGTCTTTGTCATTTCTATATTTATGAGAGATCAAGAGGTGTTTCAAATTGACGTGCGCGAAATTCAACATGCAATTATATAAACTTTCAAAAAAATTAAAACACACATATCACCGATTTGGTTTTTTGGGCACTCTTTTCAAACCTTATATCTTATTGTGTCTACGTTAAACACGAGTATTTTTAATGTGTAAACAGGTCAATAGAATGATAATTAATCCTAAAAAACTAATTTACTATTCAACAGCCCGTCAAACTAATGGTCCACCTCAAAACCAATGGGTTTCTGCTAGTATAAAGTATTCATAACGTTATGATCATAACGTACTGAATTTTGGGGTTCAAACAAAATCAGCGCATATGATCAAATTTAAATACTTGGTTTTGACCATATCTTAATAATCACAAGTGATCATTGCTGAATCCGAATTATACATGGAAAAACTACTTGATATTGAATCGAAATATGTTCTAATACAATCTTTGTAATTGTTGTGACACATTAATTAAAATCAAGATCACTTATTCCCATTACATATACAATTCGTTGTTGGATCAGTTACTAAACTATAATTGTAAATATTTTTCTCAATGTATTTTTATCATGGAAGGAATAAAGGACTAAATATTCGACGTATCCCTAAATTTAATATGATTAGGAAAGTTTTTATCATCACTGCTATTACTATTATTATTACAACCATGATCAACGATAATTTAAGGTGGAATTGTTGTTATCTATGGGTAAAGATTATTAATATTACACTTTTAGAAACCCAATTATGATTTTTATTAAGCTTCTGGCTAACTGATTGGACCTTTAAAAACACTTTTGGCTGGAAACCTGCATTAGGCGCATTTTTTGTTTTCTTCAGTTCCATAGATCCAATTCGAATGCCTCGAAATATGTTACATCATTTTTAATTATATCAGTGCCATTGCTATTAATGCTAGTACATAAATCAGCTGAATTAATAATGTGACATTAGATGCAATTTGAGGCGCAATGGAGGCTTCCATGTAGAATAATAATAATCTACAGTTTCCATTGTAATAGCACCAGCCACAACTTTGATTATGGATGCAACCATACATAGTTGTGCCATATAAAAATGGTTGCATACAATTGCAGCGGGTATCCTTAATGTATTGACGTGTTTCTCTTTGTTAAAGACTTTTTTAAATTTATTAACACATGTTAACATGTTCTTGTGATATATTAATCTTTCTGTCGTTTTACATACTTTATTTGAATTATTAATTCTACAATAAATGCCCACCAATAAAACAAATAAAATAGATGTGAAAACTTTGACACTGCATCCTTGAAATAAAGCCTTCCTTAACACCACCATGTACTTACTTACCATGTTTACTATAGCTATCGATAGATATTTGAAGCCAATCGATTGGTCTTATAAGAATTATTAATCAATGATCGTTTAGGAATACTCTGAATGTAGAAATATTTGGAAGAAGGGATTTTCAATGAAAGTAAATCTAAAGACAAAGAACTGATGAAAAGATGGTGTAATAAAAGATAGGCTTACAAGTTGTCTAGGTGCGTACCATATGGCATGCGTCGTCCTCATTAATAGTGACACGGGAGTCATTCTCTAGCATTTAGGATACTATAGTAACACACGAGCCCATGATGTCTGTCAATTCCCACTCATCTTTCTGCATGTTTATATTTATGAATTTTATATTTCGAATTCTTTTATTCAAATTTATTGCATGTATGAATTTAAATTAACAAGCCTGAGTACAGAATTGGTGGTCATTTATTTCTGTTATTAAATTGAACATGGGGCATGCTTCATTAGTGTTGTCAGTCGGAGCCATTGGAATCTAATGTAGATCTTCAATTGATACTGACAATGAAATTTATTTGCATGGCATTGTAATTGAATTTTCATTGGTTATTTTCATTGGAACCATAGATAGACAAAACTAAATTACAGCAATTTTTAGATCTTATCAATAATCTCATACAGAAGTAGGATGATCAGTTGGCGGATGTGATAATAATGTATGATGGAATCCATCAATGGCTAAAGAATTTTCACATTCTTTTAAATCTTTAATCTTATCATTAATGGTTTTCCATAGTGTTGGATGTGATTTGTTATTCCACTACGCCAAGAAATAGATTTCGTTTATCTCATCTTACTCTCACAACAAATTCAATTAGCTATCTATTTTTTCATTGGTTTGTGATATACTGTTGACCAACGTCCATATATTTGACTGTTTTGCGTTTTTCATAATAAATAAAAAAATTGTTATTATTAATGTCCATAAATTATAATTTGTTGTTATCTTTAAGAAATACATTACGAGTATCTCATAACAAGGTTTAGCGTGATCTCTTTTATCCTAGTTTTAAGTGTTAAAATCTTCAATTCGAGTCCAAGCACTAAATACTATCGTGTTTGTCACCCTTTCTTCATTTGATTTAGACAGATTTCTTTGTTCATCACCATCGATATGTGTATATAAGAGTGAATAATTTGATATTTTAGCCAACATCCTTATTAAAAATTTTATTTATCATTTTCAATGTACATATCAGCTGATTTGGTTTTTTGGGCCTTTTTTCAAACCTTATGTCTTATTGTGTCTCGATGTTAAACACGAGTATTTTTAATGTGTAAACCGGTCAGTAGAATGATAATTAACCCTAAAAAAATTTATTTGCTCCGCTAAAAAAACTAATTTACTATTCAACAGCCCATCAAACCAATGGCGCGCCACCTCAAAACCAATGGGTTTTTGCTAGTGTAAAGTATTCATAACGTTATGATCATACCGTATTGAATTTTGGGGATCAAACAAAATCAGCGCATATGATTTGATTATTTATTAAAGTAGCTGGTTTTCAACAACATTGCAAATTAAGAAACGATAAAAAATAAAACGTGAAAAATAAAGTATGCATACACAAGTAAACACATACCATAACAATGTTAATTATTTATAGCGAGCGTCTTAATGAACATAAATATAAAAAAACCATTCAGAACAATAAACTACAATTTTAAAATTACTAGTATCAAATATCAAGTATATAAACTACTGTAATCTTTCTTGTAATGTTGTCTAAAAAAATCGCACAAGCCTTATATTTTCTGAAAGCTCTCAACGTATTCTCTCTCTTTATCATACTCAATAAAACTGTTTCTCGAAAAAAATTAGTTTTCCAAAATCAAAAGGCGTGTGTTTCTTTAAGAAGCTATTGATCCATAAATAAAACAAGTTATTGGCAAATAAAAAATTGAATTTGAAAAAACAAAAAATACAATATTGTGTTTACTTGTAGTGTAAAACTTTGTTTTGATAAGAACCATAGATACGATTCTTTCTTTAAATCTATAGTACAAAAAAGCAATGCGAGCATTCGTGACAACAATCTCTTCAGCAAAGGATACACCAATCCGTGGAAATCCATCTGGACCTAAAAAAGTGCTGTTTTTGCAACTGAAAAAAGCATATCGAGCTAGAAAATATGATGAATCCAAACTTCCATTATATGTTCTCGTGTGATGGACAAGTTGAACCGAGTTTGGCAACTTGTGACGTGTATGAATACGTGCATAGCTCTGTGGAATCGGGACATTGGTGCTTTAAGTAACGTCCGTCGTAGCTTTATCTATTGTAACTCATATGATGGCAATCGTTATCTATTATTTACAAGAGGAAACAATAACAATGATAGAGAAGTTAGATGGAGATGAATAGTCTTTGACCCCATTTTCTCAGCTGTGCAAGTCGGCTCATTATGCGGGTTTGTAGTAGGGAACTCTTGATTGCGGTTCGCACAATGTTGCTGCTGTCATAAATCTGAGGATCAGTAGATAAATTATTAATTAGTAATATTGAAATATTTAAAATATAAACATACTTATTTAGGCACAAGCCTTAATTCTACGAATGTATTTTATATACCTATAGAAAGAGAAGTTCGTTATTATTATAGTGTATTTTACTTGGTGTTTGTTGTAGAAAGGTTGCTATAGAGAGAGTGGATATATAATAAAAAAATTTAATTAATTAATAATAATTAAATGATAAATAATAAATATAAATATAAACACAAATACAAATCAAGGTTGGGTGACGAAAATATTTTGGTGTATAAAAAGTATTTCATCAAATGGGCACATGTGACGACATGCGACGAAATGTGACGAAATGTGACGAATGTGACAAAATGTGACGAATGTGACGAAATGTGACGAATGTGACGAAATGTGACAAAGTGTAAAAGTCGAAGGTCAAAATTTATGATAAAGATGACAAAAGTATAAACTTAAGATTTAATTAAAACAAATTTTAAACGTTTTTTTTGCATCGTAAGTCATGTTTCACTTAATTTTTGTACGTAAAGTTTTAGTAGGAATTGCTGCTTCATATCCGTTGCTGGTTTCATAACTTTCTTCAAAATCTGTAGAATCATCTGATAATTCTGATCGTTGAAATGCTGTTTCATTTACTATTTTAATGAATTGTAACCATATATCAGACACATGACGTCCTGCAGCTAACCCTTGATTATTCTTAAATGAACCTTCATATATATTATCTAAGTTTAAGGTTTGCAGATTCATATTATATTATGATGATTGAGAAGGAATTGGTGAATTAGGTAATTAGAATTTGACATCATGAATTTTATTTTTTAAAATTTACTCCTTGGACCAAAAATGCAAATAATCTAAAATCTACAAAATAATTGGTTTATTTTATTGTTTTGTTGTTTTCGTCACTTTCTTCACTTTCATCAAATTCCTCAAAGTGTAGAAATCCTATTTTCGTCACATTTGTTTGCGTCGCCCAACCTTGATACAAATGAGATTGTTTTGAAATTGTTTCCGTTAATAAATGAAAGAATAAAAAAGTTTCGAAGGAAGAATGTATGTACATAGTTATTTTTACGTGATTTTTCATTTGGTTTTGAAATTCATTAGTTTCATGTCTTCGTAAACCATTAATATTTTCACACACATAAACTTAAACTTCTAATTTACAAAGTAAAAAGCATTAAAGACTAGAAATTATATAAATTTCTTCAAAACAAAACTTATTTTTAATGATGTTTTTTTTGTGTAAAAAAAAAATTTATTCTCGGAAGAAAAGGACGGCGCATGAGTTAAATATTGAACATGAAAAAAGAATTTATTGATGTAATAATAAAAAATTCAATCTAAAAATAATATTCCATAAAGAAATTAATATTTTCAGTTGTATGTAATAATAATAATAATAGAGTTTTTCCCGGTCCTACTAAAGTGGGGTCATTTGTTAAAGAAATAAGTGAATATCCAATTTTAAACTTTAGCAATGTGTCACAAAAAACGAATATTAGAATTTAAACTCTATTTAGAAAAAAAGTCTTTTTACCAGGAAAATCCAGATTTTCCTTTTCCGGAATTTATTATATATTTTAGTATGGTTTGCATTATTGTAACTTACTTTTTCCAGTTGAAAATGTTGAAAATGTAACAACCAAATTTATCAAGAAAAACCGGTTTTGTTTCGAGTTTTGCAGGAATATACGTATTAGAAATTACTATTACTAGAAATTTTGTGCAATATGTCAATTTTTACTAGTACGCCCACATGAAGTTTTACACGCATTCTTTGAGACTTATTTTATTTCCTTGCAAAATTTTAGAAAAGAATTACTCGTTGAAAGTTATGAGGCATGGACAATGGAAACAAGGTTAACTTCTGTAATCCACATCTCAAATGTATAATTCCTTAGTAAATAAATTCTTTGCTAATAATCTTTGTTTCTAAGATTAGCATCTCATGCGGACAATTTCCGAAAGGTTACACCTTTATCCCTCAGTTCGTAGGGATAGAGCCTCAGCCTGGGAAAACATATAAGAGGGATATACCCCTTATCAATCTTATCGATCTTTGGGTATCGGTCGGATAATTACACTCAAGATCTACGGACCAGGTGATCAGTGATATATCCGTGCATTTATATTTATCCCTCTCCAGGCTAAAGCTGTATCCCTCTGAACACAGGGATAAAGGTCATACCTACCCGGAAATCGTCTGCATATGGTGAATCAGAACAGAATGTCATCCTAATAGGGGTATTTTAATTCCAATTGGTTCAGTATTTTTATTAGTTAATCAAAAATCAAAAAATTTTAACATGAGCAGTTGATGTTTTAAATTATTGACAATCTTTAAAGTCTACATAATAATAATATTTAATTTTTCAGTGTGATGTATGATGGAACTTTGGCTTTCTAATGAGTATAAGATTGTCAATTTATTCCAAAAATTAGAATATTAACAGCAAATATTAATTTATCAATTATAAGTGTAAATTGGTTGATATTTTTTTAAAATTATCAACAAACAGCATATGCAATGTTTTATTATGTTAAATAGTGAGTCTTTAGCTTCCTAGTGAGTGTAAGATCATTCATTCAATTTAGTCAAGTGTTTAGTTACAAAATTCTTAATTTTAATGATTAATGAAAAAAAAAATTTTTTTCATTTATTGTTTAAGTTTTTATATATGGAAGACAGAGGCTACAAATTGATATAATTCAATTTAATTTACATTTATTAATAAAAATTTATTATATATAGAAAGATTATCTAAAGATCTATTTAAATTACATGGTTCATGAACATATAATAAAGTTAGAGATTACTGACATGATAATACGAAAGAAAAAAAAAATAAATTATAATGATCACAAACTTTTTCTTCTTTTCTTTAGTGGTACATTGTTCAGCCATATAATCATTTAAAGCAATTTTATCATATCTATATAATGTTTAACATGTAAACAAATAATCAATTAAATATTGACAAAAAAAAAAATCTAATATTGATTAAATTCATTTAATATAATTTTTGATACCTAGTACAAATATTTAATAGATTTCCTTTTTATTATCTCTTCGTTCAATTTTGAGATTGTCTTGTGTTTTTCTTATTTTTGTCATTAATTCATAATTCTTCACAATAAAAAACAAATAAACAAAAGCTTTAAATTAAAGATTATTATCATCTATAATAATTATATTAATTTATTAAATAATAATGATTAAGAATATTAATCAATACATATGTATATTAAAATATTTTTCTTTTGTAACCTTTTGAGTAGAAATTCCAATTAAAAGATTGTATTTTCATATATTGTCTAATCATTATTAATATAACAAAGTTAGAAAATTGTTGAAAAGTTCTTATAATAATAAATAACTTACAAACCCGTTTTTTGCTTTTAATTTCTTCCTTCCCCAATAAACCATACAAACCATGTATTTTCTAAAAGCTCTCGATGTACTCTGTCTTATCATGCTAACTAAAACGATTTTAATAGAGCTGATTTACGAAAAGAATTAAGATTCCGAAAGTCAAAAACCATAGTAATAGATTTCTTTGAGAGGCTATTACTCCATAACTGGAAGAGCTACAGACCCATAAAGCTCGTGTTTTAAAGGTCAAAAGTAAATGATTGCTTAATTCATTCGCCAAAGTCCGTTGAACAGAAACGTGTCGTGTCGATCATATATTAAAATCAGTGATTGTAATAGTAATAAAATTTAATAAAAATCCGGATTTTAAAGTACAATTTTCAGCCCTAGATTAATGAATATTTTGCTTGGCAAAACCGGTATGTTCCATTTCAGGTAAGACTATCTCTAGTCTAGGCCTTCCATACGTTTTTAGATTTTTACAATGCTGCATTAGACATTCCGCTACTTAAATATGATTCGAATTCGTCTCTTTGCTGTAAATATTCATATTAATATATAATAATAATAAATAATACCAAGAACTTTTTTTCAATATCTCACGTATTACGAACACTCGAGAGTGATATGCGAAATCGAAATTAATATCAATATTAATATTGTTATCCGTATAATAATAATAATAATATCCATTATAATGATTGTTTCCGCCTGCAATAATGTTACACTATATTAATTAGTATATACTGATCGTGGAGTATTAAAAAAGTTTTGATCGAGACCATTCCATTGCATGAAAAATTTTGTTCCACTGCATGAATTTTTTTTTTAATATATAGATAGTAATAGATAAAAGATAAAGCATTCGAATATCAGAAATTGAAATGCTATTCGAATACTCACATTAATATTAATTCCAAATAATATCCAAATATTCGTAATATCCGTAATACTTGCGATTCAAATATCTATAATAATACTTTCGAATACTCGTAACGCTTTCGAATACCTGGAATACTTAAATTGATAAAACCTCAATAAAAATGTCTTCAATAAATGATGATGATGAAGAAGAAACAAATTCCCAATTTTTCGTCAGAATTATTACCAATGATAGATTATGTAGAGATGATAAAGATGAAACATGGAAGACTTAGGAAAGCTATATTTAGGATCATTTTATTGAAGGAGACGAATGGACTTTTCAAGTAAAAATACCTGTTTCTCTAGAACGCCCAAACGGTTTATGTGGTAAAAGATTACCAAATGTATCGAGAACTAGTAATTAAATAAACCGTTTATTAAAATCTCACAATATATTCTTATTTTATATTTATTCTAACAGTTAGAATCTAAAGGTCAAACAGAGATCAGAGATATGGTACAGAAAAAGAGCAAAGAGCAGTTGAATAGTACTTATTTCAATGGTTACGATTAAAGGTTTTTTATGTGGTGGAAGTACCATTTTAATTCATTTGCAACATATATGAATTGATTGTATGGTAAAAAACAAATATTCTCAGAAGTTGAAGATCGATGTTTCATAATTTACATGGATACCCAAATTACTTTCAACTGGTCCTTTTACACTATTTTGAATAAGTTTGCTTGTGGACGAAATAATGACGGTATTGAGTTACTTGATAATCTGGGAATGTATAGGGAAGTTTGGACCAAAGAAAAGGAAAATATCCTTGAATTTTTTTCACAAGTGATTCTCTTATAAAAGCTGGTATTTTGCGGTGCGGTGACCCTAATCTAATTTGCGTATTATGCAGACAATGGTATTATTGATCATCATTTTTCATGAATAAATAAATGGACGAGTTCATTGGCGAACAATAATAATTGCTCTAAAGCTAGATCACTTAATCATAAAGTGTGAAACCACAAGACTGTACTAAGTTTTTTATATTAAATGGTAATTATTTAATTTAAACGTTAAATAAGACTATACAATGAATATAATATGATGATGGCAACACTAATATTTCTTTTTATCACTTAAGAATAGATCTTTATTAATTCGAAGCAAAACTCTAACTTCCCTCCTGTTTATGCAGCGGTCTTTTTATAGATCAATCTAACTAAACAGTTTCGGATAGAGCAATACATTTCTATGTTGTTGTTAATGATCCGGCCCGCTCCAAAGACTGCCAGTCTAATCAAAGAGACCGCGGTCTAGACGGTGGATTCATTTGTTTTATTCGCTATGAATCTGATTATTCGAATTACATTGAAAGTTTATTCAAATAAAACGTATAATTCGATAAAACGAATAAAACAAGTAATTTGAATAACTGGTAAAACGAATAATTTAAATAAACCGAATGAACGAGTATATAATTTGAATAAACGGCGAATAATTCGAATAAGAATTTATATTACAATAGAAACTCTAACTGTCATTCATAGAAATTTTGAATTAATATATAAAACTGTCCGTATATGTTCTTTTTTGAAATGTATTAAATAATTTGAATTGAATTGTCAAATTAAATTGAAGTCTTTGATACCTAAGACTAAACCGACTCAGTCTATGGTCCAGACCGCGGTCCATTCAGTCTGGACCGAACTATTAACATCATACAATTGTTAATTATAATAATATCTAAATAAACAAATTCTATAAATAATTAAATAAAGGAAACCGCTTCGTTACATTCTTTTTCAATTAATAAATACCATTGAGATTAAATAATTATGTTATCATTTTATTTTTTTAATAAAAATTGATTTCGATGATAATAATATCATAATAGGAATTCTGATATGGTAACCAAATCATGCATTATAGCTTTCTAATGAATCCTCCCTCATATTGATGGAGCCTCTCTATGTAAAGCTATAGTTATTCAAAACTGCATTACTTTTTAAAGTTTTATCCATCTAAACTTTCAAAGATGGAAAATATTGCGAACTTTATATGTATATAGCTTTGTGTTTAATAATTTTATTTTACAAAAAGAAAAAATTGTAAAGAAGATCATCAGGCGTAATAACCAAAAAAGGGAGAATTAATTTCCAAATGCGGTGATAAACTTTAACACCACCAAGATTTTTCTCTATTTTAACATTTTAACACGTCCTACGTGTCAAATTTGCTGAACAAAAAGAAATTTCGGGAAAAAAACACTTGAAAATCGGTTTGCGTGACGAATCAATTGATAATAACATAACAAATAATAATAATAATAATAATAATAATAATAATAATAATAATAATAATAATAATAATAATAATAATAATAATAAT